AGGCTTTGAGTACAGTACGGAGTCATGCGAGCTTCCTTCGTACTATGTCTTGATAGTGCTTGCAATCATTTCCTGTAGTTGCTGGATAGAGAGAGATCCCATGGACGCCGTTGCTTGGTCTAGTTTCAGCTTCTCTTCGACTTTCTCTGCTGGAGGCTCCTCTTCTTCGTTGACTTCTTTCTTTACTAGGCCAACATTTGGGTCGACTTTCACGTCGGGCCGCGCATCTAGTTGGTTGACGAGTGAAGCAATCTGCAAGTCCTTCTCTTCCACAGTCCGTGTGAGCTTTGCAATTGCTTCATTCATCTGAGCTAGCTGCTCCTCGATTGAAGTTGCTCCAGTGGTCATGACTTGCATGGTTATACTGCCGCTCGAATCAGTGTCAGAGAGTAGGGACTCTGAGTATTTCCTCGGGCTCTCCCCTTTTGATGCCTTTAGTGAGGCTAGGGTGATCACAAGCTCGTGCCTCAGGTGCTCTTGTTCCTTTGACAGAGTTAATGCAGGGGCGGAAGCCGCGGCAAAAAGATCTCTTGCCTTACTTCGGGTTATGATGCCCGAAATATCACCACTTGCGACGATGATGTTCTTGTTCTTTGCTTTGATTGCAGGAACAGCTTGATCCTTTCTTGATGCCATTTGCGTTTTTCGATGATTTGAGGATAGAGATGAGAGGTAGAGATATCCCACCGGGTGTGCCAAATTTGTAAACACGAAAAATTCCTGAAACAAGAAACAAGAATACGTGTACAAAATATATTTTTGTATTAATGATTTTGGGGTTACAATCTCTTTGTAATTTGGTCCTCTGATTCTATCTTCGTAGGGTGTAGGTTTGTGGATGAGTTGTTGATCCAAAGGGCCGTCGGGGCTTGATCTAAGGATGAACAGTTGATGAATGGATCTTCAAGGGGCGTTGGGCTTGATCTTGAAGAATGGGTGTATGAGTTTGTTGATCCAAAGGGTCGTTGGGGCTTGATCTTAGGATGAACGGATGATGAATGATGAACACTTTCTTCAAGGGGTTGTCGGGGCTTGATCTTGAGTTGGTGGGAGTTCTTCAAGGGCCGTTGGGGCTTGATCTTGAAGGAGGATTTGACGAAGAACGAAAAGTGATTTCTTGATCCTTCGGGATTTGCTTGAGAGCTTTAGAGTTTCAAGGCTTCAAGGTTTTGGTGTAATGTCAATTTCTCTTTTCTTTCCTTCTTCAAAATGAATGCCTTGGCTTCTATTTATAGAATTCCAAAACTTGATTTTTGGATTTAAATAATCAGATGAAATAAATCATTTCTGCCAGGTATTGACACGTGTTCTATTTGATGACTTTTCCAATTTATTTCGATTTTTCGTTGAGTCACACGCTACATGTAAAATTTATGTGACACGTGAGCGTTGAAATTTTAATTATTGGTCAACATTCATTTCACCGAAATTTTGATGTCTACAACGTTGACTCGATTTTGAGACGATGTGTGACTCACTCGATGCTTAAAACCATTATCAAAGATATTCGGTTGCTGCCTCCAAATTTTGAGGCAATTTCTTGGAGGCATGTCTATACAGAGTCAAGCTTATTTGATCTAATTGGCTCTAGTTGTATTAGGGTTTAGGGGCTTCCCTCTAAGTTGTTTGTTTATTAAAAAAAAAAATGCCAGAGAGGGACTAATAAGAAGCTGCGTTATTTTGGAACACGTGAGCAAGGTAGGAGTGTGTCCTTTTCCACGAGACTCATTTACCAGATATTCTGCGCTGTTCTCCATAGTTTCATGTGCGCATTCCAGACGCCAGACAATAATCCATTGGCTGCCCGAGATCAAAACCCAGCTGGACTAATCACAATTTCACTCGTGGCATTCTAAATGGCCAAATCAAATTTCCCCCGTGTCGTGGGCCTAGTGGCAGGACACTGAAATTGTAGCTAGTGTCTAAAACATTGATGTTAGTAGAAATACCAATACATAAATTTGTAAAAATATTGACAGATATATTAAACATCAATATCAACATTAGTTGCTTTTGATAGAAACGATGAAATTTTATGTCAAACATTGGTTTGAACGAAATATAAGAGTTTCTCCGATATTTAACAGTTGTGTAAAAAATAGTGACTATATCTATCAATTTTAGCTTAAATTTAAAAGTTTATCCGATATGAGATAACATTTAGACTTTATTCTTCCCTTTTTTTTTTTTTTTAAATTTTTTGAATATTTTCATAAATATATTGACCGTATCAAAGAAATTTCAAACGCAAAGTGTAGCACAACATTAGAAATGTTGTGCTCCGATGGAAGGAACACCACTTGGCGCACGTCAGACAAAGCACATGGTCCCGAAAACCAAGAAATGAGAGATTTTTCAGTGTGACCGGTATACGTGGTGGTACACCACATGTTACTATACAAATGATGGAATATGTGTGTTAAAAAGTTAATAACTTAAAAAATAAAATCTTTCATCATTTTTATAAAAACACGTGATGTACTATCCGTATTTATGTCACAATGAAAATTTTCTCCAAAGAAAGGAGCAAGCTGACACACTGGTCACTGGTGTACGTTACTGCGCTTTGTTAGTGTTGTGCGCCTCTGTATTTGTTAATTGCATGTGCATGTTACGTATAATACACTAATCATTGGTCGAGTTGAATCAAATTTGTCAACTCCCAGCCTCCATGGAAGTCTGTGCTTGGCTTTCAATTTTGCAAAAATACTATTTTTACCACTTAATTGTACCATCTCTCTAACAAAGATAAAATCTACATACGTTGGCGACCTTACCTCTATTAAAAAGATGATACAAATGACACTACAACCTAGTAGTAAATGTAGCAATACTCTCTATTTTTTGTGGTCTGATGTCATTACTCTCTATTTTTTGTGGTCCGATGTTCGTAGTAAAAGTTTAGGGTGATTTATTTCGAGAGAAATGGTAAGAGTACTCTTTTAAAAGTGAGACTTTACATGAACTATTTGTCACTTCAATATTGCGTTAAAAAACATGAATGACAAAGAGTCTATAAAGAGTATTAACTTTAAAAGAGTGTTCTTAACATTTCTCTTGTTTGGGTTGACAAATTATTTTACATATTAGACCTTAATTCAAGAGAAAATTTTATGCTGAAAAATAAAATGACCACTGACTTGTGCCCAAGATGAAACAAGTTCATTAAATTAAACTAAATTTCTTTTACGTCAACATATTTCATTACTTTTTAACAGAATAGACTGAGAATAGACTGAATCTCCATTGCTTTAAAGTTTTAAAATTTAAATATAACAGTTGAGTGAGCGATTAAGCTACCAGCTGTGGTTAGCAGCTTTCTAACATGATAATTACCTCATATTGCCCGATGCAAACAATCGGGGAAGTGCTTTTTGAAACATTTTTTTTAACTTCGTACACACTCTTATTTTAAATCTAATGATTGATGTTATTTGATTTATTTAATTAGATAATTATAAATAAAATAACAGTGTGAAAATCACTTTCCATTCCATTACTCTAATTTGACATAATTCATTTTCTTTGAGTTGCGCATGCATCCAATTTTGATGGTTCTAGTATAAACTACTCAGATTTTTCTTTTGGTATTAAAGAATTCAGATTTGGAAAAGTAAAATGAAAACTCATCTTACCAAAATTAGGTGAGAAATGTCGGTGAGCTCTCACATGTGACGTGGGAGCTACAAGTTTTTATATCGTTTTCTTCAGATGCCTTTTCAAAAAGAGAAATTGTATTGCAACTTAACAATTTTCTCTTTCATGCCACTTTAGCACTACAATCTAGTGATATTTCTTTTTAATGGAAAGTGAGAGGTCTTAGGTTCGATTCTCGCTAAAGGCGAATTTGAACCATTATTATTGTAAGCCCATTGTGAGGCTAAGCCCACCACTTCCACTTAATATAGATAACATCAATTGTTAAAAAAAAAAAACAATTCTCTCTTATAAAAATGAAAAACGCCACTTAATACTACAGTTTAGGGTATTTTTCTTCACTTGTAAATGAGAGATCTTATGTTTGATTCTCGTCAAAGGTGAATTTGAACCGCATTATAGCTAGCCCATTGTGAGGGTAAGCCCACCCCCTCCCCTATAGTATAAATAATATCGCTTGTTAAAATAAAAATGATACTCCCAATATTTTGCTTAAATAGATGCGAAAAATTAATAATCATAAGGCATAAATCGAATCAGAACATCGCCATACCCCTTTATACGACGAACACAACCTAGATAGTCACACAATTTCACTCAATTTCATTGAGATCATCATCCCGGTCCACTTTTATTTTCTTTATTAAGTTGTCAAATATTTTAAACCTTTGAATCTAATCAATTATGGCTAATATGCATTTGGTCATGTTCTCAAAATAAGGACCGTAGGAGAGCAAGAGTGTTTTGTATCATCTTTGTAATAGAGACTATTTACTTATATCGGTAAACCTTACTTCTAATTATTACAATTTCTAATTTTGAAAGGTAATTGATAAAAGTCGAACTACCTAGGAGGCCTAAATCCCTATTTTCTAAGAAAGAAAACAACATTAAGCAAGATGTTTTTTTTTTTGTCCAGCCCAATTTTACGACCTATTTTCATTGCACATGAAATTATAAGATAAAATTGTAAATATGTGTAGTCCCACTCGTAAAAGGCACATGACACATGTTGCATACGTAAAAGAAGGGATTTGAAGATCTAATTTTTTTTTTCTTGACCAAAGAATTATAAAATAAAAAACTAAAAACATGTAATTTTTTTTTCATTTTTAACAAATATTATCTACAAGGTGAGGGGTGGGCTTAGCCTTACAATAAGTAATCAATAATGTAGTTCACATTCGCCTTTGATCAGAATCGAATATAAACCTTGCATTTACCAGTGAAGATGAATAGAACTAAACTGTAGTACTAAATAACCTAAAAAAAAAAAAAATCCAATTAAATACATAAATAGAGAAGAAAATTAGAAAAAAAATGTTGAAGTTGGACAGCTACCTGTGTCGGCGTAGAAGGCGGCACACCCATTTCCCACAATCGTACTCACACAAGTCCCGCCCACTCTCTGAATCCGAAGGTAGAGAGAGAAAGTTAAGAGGAGAGAGGAAAAGAGATTGCTTTGCTTACTTAGAAAGTTGGCTACAGATTTCTTAACACCATGATTAGCTACTAACTGTATTTAGATAATGCACACTTTTCAACCGAACCACCCCAACCCCACCCCTAAACGGCACCGCTTTTGAGCAATAAGTGGCGACCGGAGCAGCGGTTGGCGATCCATGGATTGACATTCGAAATCCGCCACTGTTAGTTTTTGAGAAATGGCGTGAGCTTTGAAGTAAATGCTACAACTCATTGTATTCATAGGCACTGCGGTGATTTCGATATCTCAGTGGATCGAGGGAGCAAGCGATGGAGTCCAGGATGGATCAGTATGAGCTCATGGAGCAGATCGGCCGCGGAGCTTTCGGCGCTGCCATCCTCGTCCACCACAAGGCGGAGAAGAAGAAGTAGTTTATATACTCATATGTCAATGTGTGTGAATTTGTGTAATGTATGGATTCAGATTTGAGGCTCATTTGGTTTTGATGCATTTCTCAGATATGTGTTGAAGAAGATCCGCCTTGCACGGCAGACGGAGCGGTGCCGGCGATCCGCCCATCAAGAGGTAGGTTCAGTTCAATACTCCAGTTTTCCAATTTCCTTAGCATTACTTGCAATTTTGTTTATGTTTGTGTAATATTCGGTACAAATTTGGTTTTCTTATTTATGTTTGGGAATTTGGAATTCTAGATGGCTCTTATTGCCCGAATTCAACACCCGTTTATTGTCGAATTTAAGGAAGCCTGGGTCGAGAAGGTTAGACACATTTCTTTTTTAGTGAATCTGTGTTTGTGCGTGGGGATTGACATATCGAATTTGTAGTTTTTTTTTTCGTTTGTGTTTTTCCTAAATCGGAAGTGATGCATTCAAAATGTAGGGTTGCTATGTTTGCATTGTCACTGGATACTGTGAAGGTGGAGACATGTGAGTTATCATAGTTATTACAAACTTCATTCATGGGTCTTAACTTGTATAATGTCATACTCCCTTAATATTCTTTAAACCATTGTTCCCATCTGTAAACTTATCAGGGCCGAGATGATGAAGAAGTCCAATGGGGTGTATTTTCCCGAGGATGTTAGTATACTTATCTCTTTTTCCAAATCAGCAAGCCCGTACACACACATTTATTTTCCTTCCTGATGCTTATATTGAATGTCAGAATTCAATCTTATGGTCGGTTTGTGTTGGTGAATGTGGGAATTGCTCAGAAACTCTGCAGGTGGTTCACACAGCTACTATTGGCAGTTGAATACCTGCATTCCAATTATGTTCTACATCGTGATCTAAAAGTATGTTTGCCAATACTAGCACTTGTCAACTGAGTATGTAGTTTAAGGGTTTTTCAAGATTCATATGGTGTTCTCTTTTAGCAGTGTTCCAACATCTTTCTCACCAAGGATCAGGATATTCGTCTTGGTGAGTTCAAGATGGATTTGAAAATTGTTTTATGATATTTTTGGCCTTCATACTGATTTTTCGGATGATAATGTGTTTGTCCTGACTTTGTTCATCCTCGTATGGTATTTATACAGGGGATTTTGGTCTTGCTAAAACTTTGAAGGCAGATGACTTGGCTTCTTCGGTATGTGCTACACATGGGAATTTCTTTTATCTCTGATTCTCTGTGTGTTATTTGTTTATCTTAAAAACCCTTACTTTGCAGTTGGAATAACTCATAGCTCAAGATTTAGTTTCAGAGTTCGAATTACATATGATTAATGTTGTTGTTGTTGCTTCCGAAGTTTGATATCTTTAATTGCTAGTAATACAGTGGTGCAATAAAGTTCTAGAGTTGATAATGACCTCGATATGTGTACAACCAAATAGTAATGTTATAACGGAAGTTGTCAAATCATTAGATCCTTATTCTAAGTTGGTGTGGCTTTGTATGAAGCTATTGTTCAACCTTTTTATTTACTAAAATTCCCCTTTCCTTGCTGCGCTCAAGAATTTAGCATGAGAATAGATGAAATTTCTACATATTCTGCATAACTAGTCACAATTATTTCCATAATTCCATCACAATCTTACCTAATTCTTTTATTTTCGTTGTATCAAATTTTGAGCTTATCCTTTTTAAGATTTAAGAAAATGAGTGCTTAGAAGGTTGTACTGTTTCAATATACAATAAACAGGTTCGTGGTGCTTATTCTTAATAGTTCAGTTACTTACCCCTGATGATGATACAAAACATTCGTGATATTTGCGGAACTAACTGTTTCCCTGTACTTCTGTGTAGGTGGTTGGGACCCCGAATTACATGTGTCCTGAACTGCTTGCGGACATTCCTTATGGCTTCAAATCTGATATTTGGTCCCTAGGTATGTTGTCTTATAAGTCACACATATTAGATATTTATTTCTTTACACTTCTCTGATTTGTATCTTTATTTAACCTGTGGTTGAAAATTGTTGATTGTTTGGCCAGGGTGTTGCATATATGAGATGGCTGCTCATCGACCTGCTTTTAAAGCTTTTGTAAGATTTCTTACAAAATCTTATTGATTGTTTAAGTTCCATATCTTTTTGTATGAATTCCAATTTACCCGACAATCAGTTAACGTTTTTCTTTTATACTGGAAGAGTAAATAGCATCTATAGACTCTAATTTATTTTGCAAAAAGTAGATAAAAAAAAAAAAACAAGAAGAAATTTATAGTGTTTTTTCCTTTTCAAATATGAGTTTATAGGAATCCTTATCATGTCCCCGTCCGTAATGCAGTGTATCTGTGTGTAATTAGGAATGATTTTTCATCTGTCTTTGAAGTGGCCAACAATGTACCGTGTATCTTGAACCTCCGTCACCCCAAGTCAATGAAAGAACTTATCAATAGAGTAATTTTTGTCATTTACAGAGTTCAATAGTGTAAACTGTAAATTGCTGGGTGTAATGGTTAACGACTTTCTTCAACTAGTCAACTTTTTTTGGTCACAAGGGAGGCCAGAGAAGGGGGAATTGGGTGTGAGGGTAAATGGTGTCTACTACACGAGATACAAACCCTGACTCTTTGACTAGTAGACTTAATGCTGTTGTGAACCATCTAAATATTTTGACCAGTTAATCTAATTTAATGTTTGCATTATGCATCGTGTTTCAGGATATGGCAGGATTGATAAGCAAGATTAATCGTTCCTCTATAGGTCCTCTGCCTTCCTGTTATTCGCCATCCTTGTAAGTTTCTTCTGCTTTTCAGAGTCTCATTTTCTTCAAACATGCACAACAGTAACATGCTATTGTGCTGCATTACTGTGCCTTATGCCCCCGGTATCATGAATACGCATACGATATTATATACATATATATCAACATGGTACTACGTGCAGACACAAACATAAACTTATAAATCTATGCATATTTGAGTATTAAATGTTTTCCTGCTGATACAGAGAGTGGAGAAACACAAGTTTCCACTTTTTTCTCTTCTTTCCAATAATGGCTTTATTGCTGATTTGCTGTTGAAAACTGGATGATCTATAGCATTATAATCAATCTATTTGAAACTATGCATGCAGGAAAACACTAATCAAAGGCATGCTGAGAAAGAACCCTGAGCATCGGCCAAGTGTAAGCCTTCTCTCTACAATGCTCTTTGTCAAATCGACAATTTTGAGTACAAGAACTGCGTACTAACAATCACTACTGTATATTTTGTCAGGCATCTGAAATTTTGAGGCACCCGTATCTGCAACCTTATGTTGATCAGTATCGTCCATCATTTACCACTCGAACAGTCTTCTCCCCAGAGAAGCGTGTATCTGTTGGTCATGAATCTCGGAGAAACATGGCAGAAAGCCACAACAGTAATGGGTCAAGCAGTGATAAAGATGGTTTGCCTTCAACTGAGAAAAACATTCCAGAAATGGACACACACTGTGATAATAAAGCTACTGAGACAGATATAATTTCTCTTGAGGATGAAGATGGCTTTGATCAGCTCCTGCCTACTGAAGAACATGACCGAAATATGTGCACTTCAAAAGTGGAAGAACAGTTGATGAAACCACCTCATTCTGAATCTAATGTTGAATCGAAGCAACCAAAGACCATTAGGAATATAATGCTGGCTTTGAGAGAAGGAAAAACTAGGGAACATAGCTCACCAATGAGAAGTAATCGGTCTAAGGTTTGTCTGCCGCAAAGAACTAATGTAGAAACAGTGTCTAGAATACCCAAGCTGAGTGATGTCTCTCCTGTTATCAAGCCCAGTCCCGATGCACCAACTGTTGCATCTTCAAAAGCAACCCTCGATCCTGCAAAACGGACACAGGGATCCCATCCTTTAAAGCATCAGGTAATCAGTAGTTATGATTTAATGTTTTTTTTGTTTGATGGGGCCTCGGTGTCCCCCTTCCTAGGGGTTTATTTAAAAATTATTATGTACTTTATGTATTAAACTGATATTGATGTAATCTAGTTTCTTGTTTGCAGTTGCCAGTAATTGAATACTCACCGAAATCTAAACCCAGACATGATGGTACTCCCCCTTTTCCTATAAAACAAGTTGAAGATGGACTTCCAAAGCCTAGGCAAAGAACCCCTCCTACACTGGCTAGACGTCCTTCATTCCCTGTACGGATGAAGCAAGTGGGGGTCGATGTTCCGAATGCGGTGAACTATGGTGCAAGGATAAGTCCAAGGGAGATAATCCAGGAGCCTGAAAAGAATCCCCCTCAAGTGCCCAATGGTTGCCTATCAAACTCTCCTAGAGAAGTCCCGCAAGAGCCTCAAAGATATCAAGAAACTATTTCAAAAGGATTGCAAATGGACAGCAGCAATTCTGTCTCCTCTTCTGCGTCAATTCAAGGATTTGAGATTTGTGATGATGCAACAACTGCTTTTATTGACATGAGAGTGCAGGTGCTTCCTGATTATGGGAGCGTCACCCGCACTGAGAGTACAGAGTCTCAACGGAGCTGTTCACCCGCTTCTCATTTTCATTCAGTGATATCTGAAACTGCTGAAAAAGATGGGAATGATAATAAGTCTGAATGCTTAATTGAAACCTCTGAGGCTATTCTAGATCTTCAGAATACAGCTGCTGGTGACCAACAAGTGAGTTTAACTGCCACTCTCAATCTCCCTGACCGGGTTTCTGAAGAAAGATTTATTTGTAATGATCATACCCCTGTAAGTATGCCCAGTTGTACGCCTGATACAGTGGATCAAGCAAAACATACATCTACATCTAGTGGTCACGACAAGTTCACTGCAAGGGAACATCAATCCCCAGTAGCGGACACTACCCTTTCTGTTGCCCCTCCCATTTCATCAAGCCAAAATTTATTTCAACAAGATCGAGGAACGGGTTTGCAAAATCGGTTAATGGAAAAGTCGGCTGCAGCTAATCTTGCCCCTGCTTTTGATGACATCATACATGTGATTAGGCATAGTAGTTTTCGTGTTGGGAGTGATCAACCAGTAATGGAATCCGTGGAGATGGGGGTTCAGAATGTGGATGTTGGTAAGATGATAAATGTGGTAAGGGATGATTTGGAGATGCGAAATGCGACTGACCTTGTGGCTCAGAAATCATCAAACTCTGCTGAGACAGTGAGCCCAGAATCAAATAACTCTGATCTCTCTAATGTGAAAGAACCCGAGATAAGAAACCCCGTTCCTTCAGCAAAAATATCCGGATCCTCTGAGCCTACAAAGTCCAGTCCTCCGGCGGAAGAGGAAATACCAGAGAAGGAAATCATGGATGTCAAGTCTTTTAGGCAGAGGGCAGAAGCACTAGAAGGACTACTAGAATTGTCTGCAGATTTGCTGCAGAATAACAGATTGGAGGAACTCTCAGTTGTTTTGAGGCCTTTTGGGAAAGATAAAGTCTCCCCAAGAGAGACGGCTATCTGGTTAGCAAAGAGTCTGAAAGGAATGAGGATTGAGGATGGCGGTCGGAGTTCATGAAGCATTCTTCACTGTAAGCATTCTCAGTTTTTTGTCATGCCTCAGAAAATTCAAATCCAATTTGAATTACAAAGACAACGACCAGGTCTCGATTTTTCGCTCTTTTTTTCTTCCTTTTCCTTGATTTTGTAATTCTTTGCATGAATTTGGTTGTACATAGCGACCATACGAACTCTAACATTGTCTACTCGCCAAGTGTATGATACGGTGTAGCTTGCAGTCAATGTTATTAGGCTTTTTAGCCAAAATAGTCTTTGAGATTTGCATAACACATCACTTTGGTCTTTAAGATTTGAAATCAATAAAAGTGATCCCTGAGATTGTCCATCATCAATCATTTTCGTCCTTCCTTGCAAAACTATGTTAAATAAGGATCAAAATGACAGATATGCCTTCAATTTAATAAACAATAAGCCAAAATGATTTGACAAAAATTAAGGGTATTTTGGTCATTCTATTCTTATTTAATGGAGATTTTTCAAGGAAATACCAAAATTAGTGATGGTGGACAAACTTAGGGACCAATTATATTGATTTCAAATCTCAGGACCAAAGTGAGGAGTTATGCAAATTTTAGAAACCATTTTGGTTAAAAAACCATGTTATTATTATGGTACACAAAGTATTTGGTGAACTTGTTGATCAGGTTCTTGTTCTTCTTTGTCGAAATAAAACGAAAGGATGGTAGTATATGGAGAGAGACGAAAACACTTATGACAGTTCTTTGGCTAAGATTCGATTAGTGTCGTTTTAGGCTTCTACGTTCCAATACTTTTTCGTTAATATTCTTTTGAAGCACTTCTTAATACTTGTACAAGAAGCACTTGGATTTTTAATTAGCAGTATAATATGAGCAGAAATGCTTTCTATAAAAACAAATACAAATAAATAAAGAGAGTTTTAATGAAAATGACTTTACAAAAACAAAATCGTAATAAAGAACACTCAATAAACTATTTTTTGTTTAACTATGAAGATCAAAACATTAAAATAAAAGAAGCTTTAATGAAAGAGAAAGACTAGGCTTCTTAACCCTTTAGGAGATCCTTAAAATACTTTGTGGTCTATTCATAGAATTTCGTGCTCATAACTAGAATTGTTAATATTGTAAATCACTTTGTAAAAATCATTTATACAAAAAATCAATTAAAATTAAGATCGTGTAGTCATCGAATGGTATAAAAACATATGGACAAATTTATAGTAAAATCATTATGAATTGTCTATCTATTTACTAAAACTGATTGACCAAACGATCTTAGTTTTAATTGATTTTTTTGAAAATATGATCTTTGCACAATTGTGAATAGGCCGTGTTGGAACCAAATTCGCAAATTGCTGCAAACGTTGGAGTTACACAAGTTCGACTACCTGTAAGAAAGCAAATAACTGTGAATTATCCTAAGGTACTAGTGTGGTATTGCTAAAGGCTTTCCGACGGTCAAGTTAGTAAGCAATTTTGAGACTCAAGCAGTGGCCAAAAGAATAGGCAAAAAGTAAGTAGGAGTTAGTTGTGTTACGAGAGTTATGCGCTGGATGAGGGTATTTATATTAGTCGGGGACCTTTTAAGATATGGAATCCGTATTAAACCGGCAAAGTCCAAGAGGAAAACTAGGATTAAATATTGTTTCCTACTTAGGACTGTGGTTACTTGCGGCGTATGCCAATTCTTATGTTGTAGGAATATCCAAGAATATAGGAAACTCATCCTAATCATATTAGGTTTCTGTATCTTGCGGAACAAGAATGGTCAATCTTAGCGAAGTTGGCAGACTTACCTTTTCGGAGTACAATATGATGTGGTTGCATCGCTATTCTGTTTGAGCAGCTCAATCCGATCGAACCTGTTGAATCATGACTAGACTTCTAAGGTACGCATATTTTGATCTGTCTTACTCTGGTCTTGGAAAATCATGGTCTCACAGTTGCCCTTAGCTATGTATCTAAAAGACCATTCTACTTGAGGATGGGTAGTTATAAAAATACCATGCATTTCGGAGTAAACAGGAATAGTTACCATTTGATATTCTTTTGACATGTAGAGATCCAGTCTCGTTATTGTTAGGAGGTAGTAGAGACGTTCCAGAATCGGGTGCGCGATCTCGAGAGTTGTTCCATAGAAAAAATTTATGAAAGATATCACTTCACGTGTGTGCGAAAAACAAGAAGCTAATTTTTTTTTTTTTTGTTATCAAGTGATTTTGGCTGTTAGATGCACAGATCTTGAAGCGAGACATTTAGGATTCAACAGTGAGACGATTCTAAAAGATCCTCTATAATTATCTCGAATTCACTCTTCATTCTCACTTTTCCAGACTCTCCTAAGCGTAAAATACTTTTTAAAATTTCCAACCATTACCTATCTTCAATTTTTAGACTTTCGTTTTTATTGGAAGAAGATCTACTTCCTGTCTACTTCCTGTCAGTTACCCTAGCTGGTGGGTAGCATGGGTGTATGCATGGGGTGCTGTCATTTACCCTAGCTGGTAGGTAGCATGGGTGTGTGCATGGGGTGCTATCTAACAATTTGAGTATGGCTGTCATTCTCACTAATTCAAGGGATTGCTGATCTTGCTTTAGTTATTAGGTGATTAGGCGTAAATCAAGGAAGGAAGATTGTTTCTTCTTCCTTGTTTTGTTCCTTGTTTTTCTCTTCTTCCCACGCTTATATATATGAGTTATCTTTGTACTTTGTTTCTTCATAATAGAAAATACACCTTCAAATTTCAATATGGTATCAGAGCAGTGATCCTAATCGACTTGCTTCTAGTTTCTTGAGAGATTTGTGAGCTTTTCCTGATTCCTTATCATGGCTGAAGAGAGTTCAGTGCATGGCCAAGAAGTTAGCTCGCATGCTGCGCCATCTTCATTTCATTTAGATGTTGATGTCAATCCAAATCAACGTCTTAGTTCTGTCCTACTAAATGAGTTCAATTATCTTCCCTGGGAGAGAGCAGTCACTCTCGCCTTGGAAGACGATAGAAACTTGGTTATGTTAATGGTGTTATTCCAGCGCTTGATGTGTCTTCATCAGATTACAATGACTGGTTGTGCAAGGACCAATTGGTCTTGTCATGGCTACTAAATTCTATGGATCGAAAGATTGCAGAAATTTTCAGCTATGCTGAATCCTCCTGCATTCTTTGGAAAAATCTCAAAGAAATGTATGGGAATCAGAATAATACAGCTCGAGTGTTCCAATTAAAAAAGGATATTGCTGGTCTACAATAGGAAGGAAACTCATTTGTGCAGCACCTTGGGAAGTTAACCACTATGTGGAACAAGTTGAATGTCTATCGGCCACACACCATTGACGCTGCCGTGCTGACCAAGAGAACTGAGGAAGACAAAATATTTCAACTTCTTGTGAGTTTAAGTCTTGAATACGAAGATCTCAGGAGTCATGTCCTCATGAATCCTGATCCTCCCTCATTCTCAAGTGTGTGTGCCACAATTCAAAGGGAAGAAACTCGCAGAAAAATCATGACTGTGGAATTAAGGGCAAATATACCAGAAGCTAGGGTATATTTCTCTAACCACAGAACTAGTGAAGAGAGGGGCTACAAAGGAAAGAAACCTATTGTGAAATGTAGCTATTGTGATACTGGTGGACACATACGAGATCATTGATGGATTCTCCACCCTGAACTAAGGCCCAAGTCTTCTAGGGACAACAACAAAGGTTTCCTTAAGGGTTCACACAACTCATCCTACAAAGCAAATCATACTGTTAACACTCATTCCGAGGGAGCACAGAAGTTCACCTCCAATCCAGCTAACCTGATCAATGAATTTGCTGCCTTCCTTCACAAGAAACAAGGTCATGGAGACAATGAAGGATCAACTAGTCAAGGTGACAACAAACAAGTTGCTCTACTCGGGCAGTGTGCTGGTTTTTTGGCTGAAAATGAAGGAATGCCATAACAAGATATTCCAGGTATCTTACAATCCTTCTCAACTGCTCTTAAAGTAGGTAATGTGCATGATTATTGGATTATAGATTCAGGAGCTACTGATCATATGACTAACAAGTCTATAAATCTGCATAATTTTGAAAAACTCTCATGTCCATCTTAAGTGTCAGTTGCTAATGGCAAGGGTGCTATGGTTGTAGGGAGAGGGAAAACACATTTGATTTCTAGTGATGTCGAGTATGAGGCTCTTTATGTTCCCTTATTCCCTTTTCAGGTCTTATCTGTTGGAAAAATCACAAACTCATTGAACTGTCTTGTTATTTTCTCCCAAAAAACTGTGGTTTTGTAGGATATCACCACCAAGAAGACGATTGGTGAATGTTTTTTCTTAAATGGCCTCTACTACCTTTCCAAGCATGTCCACATTCCTAAGGTTTTCCAAGTCACACTTCAAGCCTGGTTCAAGAACAACAACTTTGGCACCAATGACTTGCACATCCTTCTGATAAAGTTCTGTCCTTTTTGTTTCCAAACCTGTGCAAAGTTACAAGTTCCTGTGATGTTTGTCAATTCTCTAAGTTCACTAGATTACTTTTCACTTCCTCCTTGTCTAAGGCTAGTAATCCTTTTGAAATCGTGCATTCCGATGTTTAGGGACCAGTCCTAGAGTCATTTGACAGATACAAATATTTTGTAACTTTTGTAGATGATTTCACAAGTATCACTTGGTTGTATCTTTTGAAATTTAAAAGTGAAGTGCTGAAAGTTTTTCAAGATTTTCATAGACTTGTAAACACACAATTTTCTTCAAACATTCATGTCTTATGATCAGATAATGGCTTCGAATATATGTCCCATAACATGTCTCATTATCTTAGCACACATGGTATATTACATCAAACTAGTTGTGTTGGAACACCTCAACAAAACAGGGTAGCAGAAAGGAAGAATATAGATCTACTTGAAAAAACTAGAGCTCTTATGTTTCACTCGAATGTGCCTAAAAATTTTTGGTCATAAGGTGTTCTTACTACTGCATATCTCATCAATAGATTACCTAGCAAGATATTGAACTTTAAATCACCTTATGAGGTATTGAAAGATAGACAGATCAATCTATCCTATTTGAGAGTTTTTGGATGTACATACTTCGTTCACATTCAAGCACCAAATTGTGACAAACTAGATCCAAGGGCTGCCAAATGTGTTTTCCTAGGCTATTCATCCACTCAAAAGGGTTACAAATGTTACAATCCAACAATTAGGAAAATAGTTGTTTCAAGAGATGTGAAATTTAAAGAAACTATGCCTTACTTCACTCAACCTCTGGACTATTCTAGAGAGGGGGAGAATTTGCTTGATTTGTTCCCAATACCATATCCAAGTGAAGAGGATACAACAGATATTTCAAGGGACCAG